GTTGATTTACATGGAGTGAAAATCTAAGTGGAGTTGTGGAAGGCACGTTGTAAACCCTGCTGGAGTTTTTGTTGCGGACATGGTTTATTCAGGCTAACCATTTGAGAACTATTCTCATTAATCCCTGCTAAAAAGAGCTTAAACACCAATTACTCTGTAAGCGAGCTCCAGCAAAACTATTTAAACCTTGCTATTAAAAGATGGTGTTAGTAAGCTTCCGAGCAAGGAGATTGCAGCCCAAGGACTGCAATGCAAACCTGTCACATCGCCGTGCCCAGCAGCATCACTGGGTCAGCAGACTGCTCTGAAAACATCGCAAAGGTTCGGAGGCACAGTATGCAGAGAGGAGAGCTCCACTCTTGGCTCTCGGCATAAAGGTGTCCTCAGTGCAAAGAGCACCTCAGCTTTCCAACAACGCAGCAGCAGACGGGGCCTATGACAAACCTCCCTGTGCTGCCTTCTCAGGACTGGCCTAAGCAGAGAATTGCTTAAAATGATGTAATTACCCTAGCACAGGCATAGGGCATGAGCTCAAGGTCACTGTCTGACCCCCAGTACTGTTTCCATAAATTGCAAAAGCTTTTTGTTTGTTTTTTGAAGGATGGGGGTTTCAGGTGGCTAAATAAACTACCCACTACTCTCAATTTTAGTTCTGAGCAGCAGGTTCTAGTAGGTCTCCCAGACTTCTGCATCAGCAATTAAAACACAACACTTTGTTAATGCAGCAGATGGAGTCTTTGAAGGCTTAGAAAGGGGTTTACTTTGACTTCAGTGGGCATTGGATAAGGGCCCAAAACAAGAAATGTGAAAAACTATTAATGACTGTCAGCATTCCAGTGAGCTGGAAGTAGAAGTGTACACAATTCACACACGGTTCTCTTCATGGGGCAAGGTTATTCGGCCTTCAAAATGGTGGGAATGATGTACCAAACTGTTCATCTCAAGGGCTTTATTTCAGATTTGCCTCGTGTTGCTTGTGATTAAAAGTCATTACCATCTGCTCAGTAGCCTATTTGAAATGAGATGTTTATCTCCAGTGATTCCGAGCCAAGCCAGGGTCCACAACAACCAAAAGCATGATTAGACTTACTGTCTTTATTTGCAGCCTTAATAAAGGAGCTCAGTAAATGGCTGGAAGGACGATGGTGCTTTATGCATGGAATATGGTAGGTTTGGTAGAGGCAGGACAGATCCTCCCCTCAGGTCACTGGAAGTGCTCAAAGTAATGCCTCGAGGATCTGGTGCAATTATGCTTTATAGAGAAGAGATAACGGGTAGTAGCTGTTATACGTGCAAACAGCACGAGTGCTATTGCAGAAGGAGAGATCCGTTACTTGCTTGTGCAGAACAGAGACGCAACATTTCCTTTTACCTTGCCCAGGAAGACACTCACTTCTTTGTGTGCTTTCAGACTGGCTTTTTCTGAGGTAATGCTCACAGACCGCAAAGCAGAAGAAAATGATGCTGCATTACAGCTTTTAAAATAGATTCAGTAGCAGCACGCTATTTCTGTATTTGTGTTCACTTTATGATTCCAGCTTTATCGTCTGTATCCAACTCAGAGCAAAGGAGGTCAGTCAGGGCTCATGTTCTTCCTGTAAAAACAAGGAGTTGCAAGGAGTTGCAGCTGTTTGACGGTCTAGGTCCTAGATGTGTAAACTACTCCCTTGTCAGCCAGTGGAATTTTGTCTGTTATGGGAACTATCAAAGCCTGAAAGACAGAATTTTTTTCTTCTAACTGTTCCATCTGTTTGGATAATAAGGCGCAGATAAATAACTCTTCAACTTGTTAGTTCATTCAGTCCCATTCAGATGGGCACGGAGCACATAATTCATTGTGTTTGAGTGGTTCTTCTGAACAAAAGTGGGTTCTTCAATATCTTGTTGAACTGCAGCGATTTTTAAAAAAGAATGTCAATTATTGCATGCAAGGGAAAGGTATAACTACCCGTGACTTACACTAATCCTAGGTTTGGCAATTTTCATTAGTCATTCTCCCCTGGAGAAAATGTTCCAAAACTGCAAGTACTGCATGAACAGATTTTTGTATTTTGTTCAGATCAAGACCGGTAGTTAAGGTTTACACCAATTTGGATTTTATATCTAGGCTTTTTTTATTTTTAGGAATATTTGCTTTCCACCTTTATTCTGTCTTCTCTCATATTAGAGGGACCATTTTAAATTGAAGATAGTTTAGACAAGAAGAGGTTTTGGTTAGCTGATTTAATGCGGATTTATAGTGTCAACACTTATTAGGTTTATTAGTTTTGAACTGGACAGAATATAGTAGGATCCAAATGTTTTTAGCTGTTCCTTTTTTATGTGAAATGGAGTTCTGGCAGTTAGCTAAGCAAGAGAACAGCAATTTTTCCTGATCACTGGTAGATCACAAATGGTGTAGAGCTACGGAGAAATATGATACAGATATGATTTCAATTGCTCCTTATGGACCATTTTTGAAGATATTGCATTAGTAAATGAGGACGGATCTATTATGGACTGGGAAGTTACTTTTAATCTCTGATACATGCCCAAGTGTGTCTGTAATTACAGAGGACTAAGCGTGATCTGGAATCAAAACATTCCACCTGAAGAATCTGAATGTACATAAGCCCATGGGACCTGACGAGATGCATCCCAGAGTCCTGAGGGAATTGGCTGATGTCGTTGCCAAGCCATTCTCCATCATATTTGAAAGGTCATGGCAGTCAGGTGATACTTAAAGGGGGCCTATAGGAAAGATGGGGACAAACTTTTTAGCAGGGCCTGTGGTGATAGGACAAGGGGTAATGGTTTTAAACAAAAATAGGGTAGATTTAGACTGGATGTAGGGAGAAAATTTTTTACAATGAGGGTGGTAAAACACTGGCACAGGTTGCCCAGAGAGGTGGTCGATGCCCCATCCCTGGAAACATTCCAGGCCATGTTGGACGGGGCTCTGAGCAACCTGATCCAGTTGAAGATGTCCCTGCCCACTGCAGGGGGGTTGAGCTAGATGTCCTCTAAAGGTCCCTTCCAACCCCAACTATTCTATGATTCAATGATTCTAAGATTCAGTGATGCCGAGGGGAAGCAAAACAAAATATGTTTTTCAGATCTTTGATTTTGTTGTTAATAAAAGTCTCAGTGGGATTCTCAGTTCTTGTTTAAATTTGCAGTTTCTTGTTACAGTTGCTGTCAAAGAACTAATTTTCCAAGAAGCTGCATCCTAATTAGGAACAACAAAGAACTCACCAGATGTGCATATGAAAGAAGGCACTACATGAGGGATTGTTTATGTGGACAATTCAATTCCAACCTGCCTCTCTGTAAATTCAGAACAGAAGGTTAAAAGGACCTAGACACTATTAAATCTAAGAAGCTGCTGAATGCCACGGCTAGAAAATATGAGTTGAACTGAAGTGTTTTCTTGAATAACATTCAGTCTTGATTTGAAAATACTGGGAGACAGGAAAAAAAATGGACTGTAGCTTCACTAGTAGTTCAAATTTATACCTATTTTCTCCACTGGCTTTGTACAGTTTCAGCATTCAGATAAATGTGTTAATAATCAGCCCTTTGGTGACTCGTTCTCATCTTGTGAGCACACATATAGACTCTGATTAGCGGTTTATGATGGATGTGCAGCAAAGAGAATACCTGAGCTCCTCAAATGACCTCCTTTCCTCACCTATTCATTTGAATGAAGGAACAGATTGTTCCTCCAGAAAAAAGCCACCTTCAAAATCTATTAAACTCACTTCAAAGTTAAATAAATATTGTGTAATTTTCTTGACACTAGAAAGCTAAAGCCTATGAAGCCTCCATCTATGGAGAGTGAGGAGCTTGTCTTCCAAAACACTCCTGCACTTCCAGATTCAGTGTACTGTGACTGTAGCGGTGGCAGAGCCATCACCTCTACACGAACAACTGGGTTGGCGCAGGTCCCCAGCCCACCACTGCAAGCCTGTAGCAAATGCCTAGGGAAAGTATAAGAATGAAGACTGCAAGGAGTTTCCTTCTTTCCTTATATACCCTCCCAGCTTCTCTTTGTCAGCAGTTTCAGGGTTTTTAAAGCCAAAGCTTGAACGTGGACCGTTGTATTTAACCATTATCAATGGATCTTCCCTCTGTTGTCTGATCTGCCTAGTTGCTTTGAAGCCATATCTGCATTCAGCTTTTACTCTGTGGCAATGACTTTCTCAAGTTAGTTGAAGGTTTTATGAAGGAGTCCTATTTATTTTGGCCTTTATTTAAAGCTACCTTGACTAGCACTAGGTACCTCCTGATTCTAGTACAATGAAAAATGAAAAATTCACCCATTTATTTCCCCCATCTCTCTCAAGATTTGAAAGGCCTTTAATCATATCTCGCTCTCCCCTCATCTGTCTCTTCTCAATGTGAAGAATCCTGTTAAGTCTTTCTGAAGCTCTATATTTAGTCACTCCTCAGACAGGGTATTTGTTGGCTGTAATCTTCATTATGATTCTAAATGTCTTCTCCATCTGTTTTTAGATTTGACAACATTCTTCTTGATATGGAGTGACCAGTATTTTACTTAGCAGTTAAAATATGGCCATGCTATGGTTTTACAGCATGGCATGACAAGACCTTCTGTTATGCTTTCCATTTTTTCCCAAAATTCCTAGCACCTGATTTACTTTTTTGATCCCTTTATGAGGTGTAAATCTTGACCTCCTGGGCACAGCTGGAGAGCTTCTTTGTGCACCAGTAAGATCATGTAGCATCATTAATAGAGCTGGGGATAGATGGTAGCAGGTGAGTCAGGCCCTCACCAAATTTTGCCGACTGCCTGACACTCCATGTATTGCAAATGAAGCTGCCTGATGCCCAATAGCTGTTCTCTCTCTCCCAGCATCCTCCATCTTCCATTGCTTGGAGGCTTTTAGGGGGTCTAGTGGACCAGCACA